CGTTCTTTCCTGCACTGTCAGCATAAGCCTCACTGCATCATCAGTATCATCCAATAGTAGACAGTGGCCAACGTGAAAATCATGTTCATTTCATGAAGTTCGTGAATTGAGCCGGATGCCTTGAGCGGATGCCGGATTTTTCATGCTTTGATTATCAAGCCGAAATACACGCCTGGACGGCAGGCCGGTTGTGTGTCCTGTCATCCTATGATATCCACCGCTCATGCAGCATCTTCCGTATCAAATCATGCCCATCTGCGCCCAGCCGTAACCGAAGGAAAGCTTAGAACTGTAAGGGAGTGAAGAACCACCTGTTCTTTCCGGACTGGTATCGCTCCTCGAATGCCTTCTTGACGGTCTTCTTGGCCTCCTCCCGTTGCGAGACCTCCTTGAATGTGTCGGCGGAGATGACGCCCTTGAGGTTCTCGAGCTCGATGGTGTAGCGGGTGGGCATAATGTGGGTGTCTGCGTCTATCAGCGTCTGCCCAGCGAGTGCGTCCTCATGTCCACGTACAGTTGACCTGCTTGACGAAAGGCTTGACCTTGCTCTTCTTGGCCTGCTTGGTCTTTGACATGCGGCGGGTGACCTTGGAGGGGTAGGTCTCGATACCGGCAACGAGCGCGTGGGGGAAGGGGTGCGACTTGGTGCCGTTGTCAAGTGGTGAGATGATCACGCACTTCTTTCCGGCGTAGCGGCCCCGGGTGATGATCTAGGCGGACTGTGAGTGAGTGCGATGGGGGTATTTCGAGCGATTCAAACGTACGACAACGCGTCCGACCTTGAGGCTGGTGAAATGTTAGCAGTTGTTCTGTCGCATGTTGTGGGCTTTCCAGGGTGCGATTATTGGCGTCCCGCTGCGCATTTCGGGGAGCATCGGGAGGCGCCAATTTGTATCGCAGAGAGGATCGTGTGCAGCATCGGGGCACTCACAACTTCATTTTGGCTGTTGTCCGGGTTAGTGATGGGGTTCTTGGTCCTGGAGTTCGAGGTTGTCGCCAGAGCAAAAATGGTGTGTGGCATGTCGCTTGATCCGATGAGTTTGGCCGGCGCCGCCCCACATTAATTCTTAGCGCCAAACACGCTGGTTGGCTGGCCCCGCCGCCGCCTCTAGGAAATCTTGAAGACCCGCAAAGTTCGCGACGGCCAGTCGACACAGCTGGACAACCACCACCATGAAGATCAAGGCCCTCAGCCGGTCCACGGCGTCCACCCAGGCCCCCGGCTCCAGCGTCGCCAAGGTCACGAGGAACCTCGATCCCAACCTGCATCCGTTTGAACGTGCGCGCGAATACACCAGAGCCCTCAATGCGACAAAAGTCGAGCGCATGTTTGCGCAGCCCTTCCTCGGCGATTTCGAGCCTGGCCACGTAGACGGTGTATACTCCTTCGCCAAGGACCCCAACTCCCTTGAGCATTTCGCCAGTGGCAGTGGCGACGGCATCGTCAAGGTCTGGGACTTTACCAGCAGGGAGGAGAAGTGGCAGGCGCAGGCGCATGAGAACCTCGTCAAGGGCATGTGCTGGACGCGAGACAAGAAACTCATAACATGTGGATCAGACCGCCAGATTCAGCTGTTCGAGCCATATGCGCAAGCCTTGAAATCGGCGCCAAAAGCAACATGGCACGGCAACTCAGCCTTCACCTCTGTCTCGCACCATCGCTCGCTACCGACCTTTGCGGCTGGATCCAGCTCCATCTCCATATACGATACATCGAGGACGTCAGGGGCTCCTGTCTCCAACCTTGTGTGGCCATCGGTAGGTCATTCATGCAGAGCAGACCCAAGGTACATACTAACACTCAGTAGGCCATTGATACAATCACGGACGTCAAGTTCAACCAGGTTGAAACCTCGATACTCGCATCATGTGCGACCGACCGCGCTGTCATCCTCTACGACGCCCGCACGAACTCACCCCTACACCGCACTGTGCTCAACTTCCCCGCGAACTGCATCTCCTGGAATCCTATGGAAGCCTACAACTTCGCCGTTGCTTCGGAAGATCACAATGGATACATATTTGACATGCGCAACATGAAGCGTGCGCTGCAAGTCTTGGTAAGTCCGATTTGGAGGTCAGGTCACAAGCATTACTAACACCAAATAGAAAGGACATGTTGCCGCAGTCATGTCGATTGAGTTCTCTCCAACGGGAGAGGAGCTCATCACCGGTTCCTACGACCGATCCATAAGAATTTGGGAGCGATCAAAGGGCCACGCTCGGGACGTCTACCACACCAAGCGAATGCAGCGTGTCTTCTCCGTTGCATGGAGTCCTGACAACAACTACGTACTCAGCGGATCAGATGACGGCAATGTCCGCCTATGGAGAGCCAGAGCATCCGAGAGGCAGGGCGTCAAGTCATTCGCCCTAAAACAGAAGCTGGAGTATGACGCAGCGCTCAAGGAGCGATACAAGCATATGCCAGAGATCAAGCGCATCGAGAAACACAGGCATCTGCCCAAGACTGTCAAGAAGGCGGGTGAGATCAAGAACGAGGAGCTCAAGGCTGTCAAGAGGAAGGAAGAAAATGAGAGGAGGCATACGAAGAAGGGCACAGTCCGGAGAAAGGCAGAACGTGAGAAGATGATCTTGGCGAGAGAGCAATGATAAGTCAAAAGAAGGGTTCAGTACATTTTCTGCATAGCGTTGGCGTTCTTGGCATTCGGGTAGAGGACCTGTGGTACTATACGGTGCATCCGAGGGTGTTGATCGTAGTTTAAAAGATATGGGATATTTGACTCCATCATCCTGTCTTTCAGGAACAAATACTTGCGTTGAACCTGCCCAGGTGGTGCCCTTCGATTGTTCATACACGTGACATCGCGTGATTGCGTCATACCTCGGTCTAATAGTTACCCCATTGTAGTCCATAGCACGAAAGGGCGCGAAGAATGACATTTGACCGAGAGCAAACAGCGCACTTCATTATCCAGTTTGGAACCTTCAGGTCCCTCTGAGTTGCGCATTTATACTCTCAATCAACGACATACCAATCCGAGCCGCCCAGATCGCAAACATGGCATCTAGATCCGCCCTCCACATCCAAGACACCAAATTCAACGATCTCGGCCTCTCAAAGTCCACTTTGAACAATGAGAAAGTTTGCTGCTACACGCGCTCGCTAGAGAATGCCAGCGACGATAATCCCATACTCGTTCTCATTCATGGATACCCGCAATCGGCTTACATGTAACTTCCTCCTCCGTCTCTAATCCTGCATTCAATACATCGAAGAGTCTGACACAAGGTTAGGTGGCGCCACATCATCCCCCTACTCCCATCTGAAGCACCGCTCTTCGTCCCAGATCTACCTGGCTACGGCGCTAGTGCACCGATTGCGCAGAACGACAAACTGAGTATAGGGACTGCGGTACTAGAGGCGCTGAAGACGGAGGTGAAGAAGAGTAAGAGCGGAGATGGGGATGTAAAGGTTGTGCTTATTGGGCATGATCGTGGAGCCAGAGTTGCTCATCACGTTACTGTTAGTGGGGTAGATGGAGTGGAGATCTTGGGTGTTTGTTTGATTGACATCGTATGCATTTCCTCCCTGGAATTCCTTGCATCATGCGGGCTAATCTTAATAGGTCCCAACCTCCACGCAATGGCAGCACTTCACCTCCCCGGCTACCGCAGCAAAGGAGATAACAGGCTACTTCCACTGGCCCCTACTCGCAAACGTCGATCTAGCAACGCGCATGATCACCGCTTTCGGCCCATCTAAATGGTGTCAAGAGATGATCCTGCGTTGGTCTGGAAAGAGCAATGCCGGTATCGAGAAACTGAAGGCTAATGACTCGTTAACCGTCTATGGCGATTTCTTCAATCAGGAACATACGCTGAAGGCTACTTGCGAAGACTACAGGGAAGGTGCTACGACGGATGTTGAAAGAGAGGAGAAGAATCAGAAGGAGGGAAGGAAGATTCAAGTGCCGTTGCTGTTGGTGTATAGTGCGGCGAGTATTGGGAGCAGGTTTGACTTTCCGGATGTGTGGAAGGAGTGGGTTGGTGAGGGAGTCAAGATTGAGAATCATGGGTTGGGGGATGGAGTAGGACATTTTGGGGCGGAGGAGGCGCCTGAAGAGTGTGCAACGGCCATAGTGGATTGGACGAAATCATTTGTCGGACAGTGAATGTAGAGTAATGGAACGTTGTACAGCGAGACATTCCAGACGATCGCAATGGTCTTTCCGGCTCGGTCGAACAGAATTGTGCCATAGGGTTCAGGGACATAATTTTAATCTGTCGCTGATCATCCTGTGTAACGATATTGGCCGAGCGCTTATCCGGCGCTCTCGTGGATGAGGCCACAAGTCGTAGCTGCCTATCCTTGCCAATCTTGAACGGAACACAACGCTCACCAAGATGGCAAACCTTCACTTGCTAGGATAACAAAAGTTGGCGCCTACCGGCAGGCGTGATTCCGTAGCTACTGTCGCGTAACACAATGTCGCATTACCGACGACTTTGGGGTATTGACGTGTCGTAGGTTAGGACGTAGTTCGCTTCGAGAGGGACCTCGGGACCATCCGCGCGCCGCCTTGGCGGCTACTTCGCGTCTACCAACCCCTCCCGACGCGATTCGCTGACACCCACCTCCTTCCAGACCTTGCATCGCCCTCGACCACACGGCAAGGGCAGACAGCCACACTAATTGCATCAAACAGGTGCGAATCGATGCCTGCCTAGGAATGATACAACTCTTCATTCCCGAGAGGCATCTCCGCAGCTGCGGCGTTCTGCGGCGTCGCTCTGCATCATGCAGTCTAGATCATCGAATAAGCAATGCAGTGCGATAGCGACACGTTCGCGCGATTGGCGACAATCCGGAGCTGACTTACTGACCTGCGCAGTGCAGAAGAGGTAGCATGCTGCCTGCATTCTGAGGCACAAGCTTACGCAGAGCGACAGGCAACTCTAGTGCACAGTACCTTCCATGACCTCCTTATCCGCATCCGACCCTCCCACTCTAGCATTGGCAGAATCGGTCGGTCATCATGCTTCTTCCTACCGCTGCAGTTTGGCTGTTCTACATCGCTCGTCGCTCATATGCGTCAGGATCGTACAACCTGCAGCCCGCAGCGTCTGCGTTGAGCCCGCAACTATCCAAGGACGCCATCATCACGTTTCCATGGGATGCTCGTTGGGACGATCTTCAAGTTCGTGGTGCCTCACCACGAATAGCTCCCGACTATAATGTGGTAGTTGAGGTCGCGACTGAGTCCGACGTGCAGACAACGGTCGCGATGGCCAATCGTTTCAACATCCCATTCCTGGCCGTGACCGGGGGTCATGGATGGACCACAACGCTTAACAGCCTATCGCATGGTATCCAAATCAACATGCGGAAGCTCAATACCACGACACTTGGTCAGGACGGCAAGACTGCTATCGTCGGAGGCGGAACGATGCAACACGAGATCACCCGCTCTCTGTTCGCCTCGGGCAAGTATACTGGTGAGTCTGGACCCGTACCTTCATATACACGTAGTTGCTTACCGTGCTTATCACTAGTTACCGGGCTAGGAGAATGCGTGTCAGTAGCAGGCCCACTGCTGGGAGGCGGCCACAGTCTCCTCCAGAATCAATATGGCTATTCTCTTGACGGTCTCGTTTCCGCTCGCGTCATCGTTGCCAGCGGCAAGGTTGTAGAAGCCTCCCGGACGAAGAATGCCGATCTGTTTTGGGCTCTACAAGGTGCAGGCCATCAATTTGGCATTGTGACAAGCCTTGAAGTAAAGACTTACGATATTCCTTCCAACTGGACTGTCTACTCGATCATCTTCCCATCTGACAAGGTCGAGGCGCTTTTCAGTCTGGTCAACGAATTCGAAGAGCCGAGTACGGAACGCTCTGCGAAGCTAGCGCTCACAGGGGTATTCGTGAGAATACCTGCTGTTGATCCCGGCAACGTGAGTAAGGGTCTCCAACACGCTTGCCAAATACTGACTTTTCACTAGCCCGTCGTAGCATACACTGTCGCCTACGAGGGCACGGAAGCGGAAGCTGACCCCTATGCCGCTCGTTTCAAAGCGCTCGGTCCAATCTCTACCACAGTCTCCACGGACGTCAACTACGTAGAGCTATACACGGTGACTGGAAACAACCTTGGAGGTCAACCTTGCAGGCGAAACCAGAACGTTGCAGGAGCCGGTGTCTCTCTACCTACCTGGGATCTTGAGGGTGTTCGCAAAGCCTTCACGTTATTTGGTAACATCACAGCAGATCCGCGCTTCAACACATCCGTCACTCTGATGGAGAATTACGGCATGCAGGGCGTACGAGCTATCGACGTATCTTCCACTGCGTTGGCACCCGAGGAACGCGAGTATCCTATTCTTGCATCGCCGGTTCTGTGGTGGGTTGGCGACGATGCGCAGACCAGCAAAGATGCGTACGCACACACGCGCGCGATGCGTGATGCGCTATACACTGGCGTCGACCGCACCAACCAGAAGCGACACTGCTATGTTAATTACGCTAACGGAGAAGAGGATAGGTCTGAGATGTATGGGCACGATGCTAGGCTCGCTAAGTTGGTCAAGTTGAAGGTTGAGTGGGATCCGAAGAACAGGTTTGGATACTACAACCCAATAGTGTAGGCAGGAATGCATTCACAGTAGCAGAAGACGAAGTATTTTGAGGACGACTTTATTACTAAACTAAACGCAAGTGCGGCGAATGATGGTGCCAGGAGTAACTCGCGTCGAAAACCAGCGCAAACCGCAACGCCAAACCTCACCCGGGAGCAACTCGCGTCGCAACCCAGCGCCGAATGCAACCGCCAAAACTCAGCCAGGAGCAGACATCGCATCTCTCCGCTGCCAAAAAAAAAACACAAAAGTCCGGCGAAGCGACTACAGCCACTTCCAAACGGCCTCGTCATCCCCACTCGCGACGCTGCCCTCTGGATCCCAGTCGAAATCCTTTGCCTTAGGCGGCCACTGCCCCTGACACTCCAGATGCTTTGCGATAGCATCCTCCGTCAGCTCCGCCCCTGACTTCTCCTCCACCTCTTCCTCGACCCCTGACACCTCCCCCTCCCCCTCCTCAGCGGGCAGCGCGAAGGTCCTCGCAGCGTCGTGAAGCTGCTTTACGGACATCTTTGAGGTATTGTCGACCTCTACGCGCGCTAGCCCCTTGCTGGCGGAAACTTTGGCCTCAGGCCCAAACTCCGAAAAAGTGTGTTTGGTCATCTTCCAGACGGTAACCTCTTTTTCAGAGGCGTTCTGGTCAATTTCTTTAACGGTATGCTTGCTAGCAGTGACCGTGAGGTGTGTGTGTAGTGATTGTCGGGTTTTTCGCTCACCAGAAACGGTTTCGGCATTGTTGAACAATCCCGCTTCGACGCAAGATTGGCCGACGCCAAGGTATTCTGCCTCCTCTGCCATGTACAGCCTGGCCAGGCGCTCAGGCTGGGTGCAGGCGATGTGAAGGCGTTTTGTGGCTGGTAGTGCGTCGCCAAGCACACCCCAGATGTCTGTCCATGTGATGTTGAGGGTGACGGACTTTGATGGTTTGATGACGATCTCGAGGATCGTGTTCTCGGGATCTATGGCCAGATCTTCCCAGTCTTCTGGGCCCCAGATGGGGAATTTTTGGTGAGAGGAGGACGACGCAGTGGCCTGCGCCTCCTTTGAAGTGGTGAAGAGGGCGGCTGGTGACGAAATGCTTGTAACCATGTATTCGTCTTCGTCGAATTCGACGGTTGCTGTTGTGGCCATGCTCGCTTGCCAGACGGCGTCGCGGAGCTCTTTGGGTAGTTTTGGGAAGAGCGTAAAGGTAGACATGGCGATGGTATTGGTAGTGATGTAGTAATGGTTTTGTCTGGCGTACTGGTATGCGTACTGGTTTTGTCTGAAGCGAGTTCGGACGGGTATGGTAAGATGGTATGAGAGAATAGTTCTGACGAGAGAGAGGGGGGGGAATGGGCTGCCTTTTATTCAAACTCAAAGCGCGCTAACTGCAGTACCGCACTACTCGACGACGAAAAGTCATAAGGTCGCCTGTGTCTTTGCTCCACTCAAAGCGTCCAACGAGCATATTATCACGTCACAAGAATCATAGAGCTACCCTATGACACGACATAACGAATACAATCAGTGCAGCGACCAAGTAACGAGACCCGACATTACAGCCTGGAGGTACTCGTCGCGCCATTAGGTGTCTCTGGATACATGATTATATCGCAAAAGCCTTCGGCCGAAAACCGATACCCAAATTCACAGCCGGAGGTACTCGCCGCATCACATAGAATTGCATCGCGCAAGCGTTCGACCAACAATCGAGACCCGATTTTGCAGCCCGGAAGTACGCGCCGCACCATATGGTGTCTCGGATATATCGTTATCTCGCGAAAACCTTCGACCAAAAATCGAGACTCAGTTTTGCAGCCCGGAGGTTCTCGCCGCACCTCATGTTGTTCCTGGATATGTCATTATATTGCTCAGACCTTCAGGCAACCACTTCAGACCCATAACACTAGAGAAGAGACTCCTGCGATATGACACCGGTGCAAGAGTTTTCAAGTCATATGATCGCTCCCATACTTACTCTGCGACCACTCGTGATGGCTTGTGGTCTCAGCATAGGCAACGCCCGCTCTGCGACCCCCGGAGTTTACCCAGCTGCCCAAAGCTCAGCCGATTACGCATAGTTTACCCGAAGCTATGACAAGTCTGCGTTGCTGTTCTCAATCGTCTTAGCGCTAGTAGCCTAGTTTGAAGACATGTACCATCGCGCTTGTTCAAGTTTCTCAAGACACTTGATCGATGCATCATCCGCTTTCACATTTACTAAAGCCGTAAGATGTTTCTTATCGCTAATTGCTAGTTTATATTGCCATTTTGGGTTGCAGTGTCTGCTCAGGTATCGTTCTCTGTCACTCGCCAGTCCGGATTGAGCGCACAGTCGTCTGCTGACTAACTCGTCCCCGCTCCCACATACTCTCTTCACAAACCCAGACCTTCCCATCCCTTCTTCCATGCAGTTCTATCCTGCACCTTCTCCGCCCTCAAACCACGGCTCCGAGCCTGTTCGTAGATTGAGTCATCAACCTCGGAGACTTTCCGCCGCTCTCCTGCGTCGCTTTCGCTAGCGTCGTCATCGCTCTCAGCTGGATATACGGACTGGTCGTTGCACGGACTCTCCCCAATCTTGATGGTCTTCAAGTTTGGCCATTCTGTTTGGCGATCCAGGAGATGCTTGAGGTAGCGCTTGGTCTCGTACTTTGCATCCATGATACTGATGCTCTCGATCGTGGTAGGTAGATGACAAGTTCGGAATTCCTCGTTCGCAGAGAAGAAAGCTTCCTGTGGGGCATTGAGATTGCGAAATTTAGGTAATCCAGCAAGCCAGGTCATTGGAGATACACCGCGAGTATACTCCAACATGATCATGTACCTGACCAGATCTTTGAGGGTGGGCTCAACGTCCAGAGTCAGATTCGTCAAACTGCGGCTCTCCAGATGCGCGACAATATGCGCGAAAGATCCTCGTGGAGTGTTGCGAGGATCGAAGTCGTCATGTGAGTCGAGAACAGTGCGGTACAGAATGAATAGGTGGGTCAAGTTTGTAAGGCCGCGGACAACGCTTCTTATATGACCGTACATACCATCCATGTGAATGGCATCATGTGAGTAGAGTGCTTCAAATTCCGTTTGGATGACCAGACTGGTCAAGGTCGTAGAAACAGTTGCATCATGTGTAATTTGCGATATCATCGTGCCGTCGTAGTAAGCGCCTTCGAATAGTTTGATCCTCGCGGCTTCAAGCTGTGGTAAACTTAGCCAGCTGCATGGTGGGTAATCATCTGTGAATAGCCGCTTCAGCCTAGAGAGACCCTGGAAACAATCTGCCAAATTCTTTTGCCTGGTGATGCCTTCGAACACTTCTTTGAATTCGAACACTTCTTCGAATTCGGTCCAAGCAACGTCGTTATTGCCATTGGGGTTACACCTCGGTGAGTTCCAGATCATCAGTGTGAGATCACTGAGGGCCGACGTAACACACAAGATTAGTCCGACAAGGGCCGTGTCTTCGCCTCTCATCAGCATATCTTCCCAGCCCTTGTTGCGAAGCGGAACACCGTCCTTTGACTTGACACCGATCAGAAACCCCATGAAATGAGTACCAAGGTCCGGAATACCGCAGGTACACTCCTCTTCGCTATCTTCATAATAGTATCCCTCGGATACGCAGCTCTCAGAATGCGTGAATTGCTCGTAGGAGAGCTTGACGTCCAGTTTCCGCACTCTGGTGGCAAGATCGAGTCGCTGCAAGAGAGTGCGCGCGAGAAGCGCGAGACCTCGTTCCAGGGTTGGAGTGATTGAGATATCCGTGTAGAAGACTTCTTGCGCAATAGGTCGTAGCTTTCGGCAACTCAACGCGAGGTGATTGAGATCGCTGTATCCGTCCTCAGTGTCGTCTCGCAGACATTTGGCGACTGCGAGCAGGAGCTCGTCTGGGAGGCCACACAAGTCAGTCATGTCGACGAGCGAGCGTGTCTGAGGCGTGGGGTAATGATCTCAGGTGAGATGAAAGAGCGATAGCCTGGTTCAGTAATGTAGGGCAGGAAGTCGCGAACAAGCCTAGTCTTGACTGGGTAAGCTGCCAACGCGCTATCAGCTGACTATTCTCTCACTTGCATTTGCAGATGTCGCAAGCTCGAGCAGGTTTCACTCACTGCATCGCAAGGTTGTCTAGTGGTCGCGCTGTGCTCTCTGTCAAAGCTCGTGAAGCACCAGAATGTGTCACTACCGGATAACTTTGGATGGCAAAGCATCATAGGCTTGCAATGCAGCCTATCAATCTCTCTGAGTACTACTGCTTAAGCTCTCACGTGTTGGCTCCGCTGCGTCCATCCCTTCATCTCTCTTTTCTGCAGTCGATATTTCCCGCTTTCGGACCTAGTCAACCTCAGTGTCTAGGTATGCCCACGACTTCGTTACCACACGCTTGGTCGCTTTAGTCGCATTTGGTTGTGTAGCTGCTTCATGTGATTTCCCCTCTTTGGTCACACATGCACTTGCCTTCGATAACCGTTGTGTCAGCTCTACTCACCACCTTCGCGCCTGACCCATCATTTTATCCAGTCGACGATTCTATACATCTATGTTCAGATTTGGGCTGCTGCTTTCCTTCCTTCACCATAGCCTTCATTGGAGGTATATCCGTATTTGACCATTCGGTGGGTCTGCGGCGGCTAGCGCGTCCGTCCATTGGGCAACGACAGCCGCCAACAATATCGGCCGTGCCCGGGGCCGCCAAACAGGCAGCCATCAGCCTTTACCTAATACGACAACCTCCAAGTTGCCGTACATTAACTCATAACGTCTTCTCGACAGCTTTCGCGATCATCTACCATTTATCTCAAGCTACGAAACTCGCGCTGTCCCAATGGCGTCTGATCCTATCCCTCCACCCTCCAACTTTCAGCCACAAAGCCCGCTGTTCTATGTCATACCTGGCGAGATCCGTAACGAGATCTTCCAATTGGCGCTCATGCAGGATGAAGACAGCGCAGCTGCGTATCCGGAAGACTCGTACTGGTACCGACCAGGTTTCTCAGGTCCGCTCAAGGGCAGCAGTGCGCTTTTGCGCA